CACCACTGTGACAGCACCGACCTTGAGTGCAGACACGTCCGGTACCCCTAGAACCTCGCTCTGTTTTGCCAATCACCTGCAAGAGAACCGGGTCTAAAGCCGCGTGCCTCGTAGCCCCGCCCAGTTGGGGGCCCACCCACCTTGCCACTTCCGGCGCTAGCCTCCCAACCGGCCTCCGTCGCTCTTCACTTCCCTCTCCTGGACTCTCTTTCCCCGCCCCTATCTCCTCCTTTAACGCCGTCACGTGAGGGGCGAGCGCGGGGACTGCCGGGAATAGTACTTCTGGTGGGTCAGGGTTCGGCCTCAACATGGCGGTTCCGGTCAGGCAGTGACCAAGGATTTGCCGTCCGGAGGATTAGCTGGCGATTGTCGTCGTCTCTACCTATCACGGTGGAATGTGAGGACGCCGGGGAGAGCGCTGAGGAGCGGCGGTGACAGGGAGGGGTGTGTGGTGTGTGCTCCGGAAGCCGAGACGGCGGCATCTAGCCCTTCTATTGGTCTCAAGGCTTCGGTGCGGGGCCCCGCCCGGCCGGGCTAGGCCGGCGGGCGGCGGCAGTAGCTGCTGCAGCCGCAGGATTAGCCTCTGAAGAGTCGGCCGGAGGGCGGGCGCCGCCGCTGCCTTACCACGGCGATGGCCCAGTGTGTACAATCGGTGCAAGAGCTAATCCCGGACTCTTTCGTCCCCTGTGTCGCCGCGCTGTGCAGCGAAGAAGCCGAGCGGCTCACTCGTCTCAATCACCTTAGCTTTGCGGAGTTGCTTAAGCCCTTCTCTCGCCTCACTTCCGAGGGTATGTGGTCTTTTATTCACTGAGCTCCCGCCAAGCCGGGGCCGAGGGAATAAATTGGGGGCCATCAGGGAAGAGAAGGGCTATGTTTACATCACGGAGCCGGTGGAGTGGCGTCTGGGGCTGGGGCTCGGTGGCGGCTGGAGGAGGGGCCAGGAGTAAGGTTGTCAAGACAGCGCGGTCCTAATCTCCAGTTTCCAGGCACTTTCCTCCTATTCCCAAATAAACCGAACTGTTAGGTAATTCCTGTAAAGAAAAGCGTGAGAGCCCCGTAGAAGGGCGTTCAGACTGTTCTCAGGGGCCATAAGAGAGGGCATTAGAAAGTTGCATGACAGGTAAGGGTAGAAAGATGCTGCCTCTTAGACCGATGAGGTCTTAGTAAAGAAGACGAATATTCTTCCTCTGGTGTTAAATCGGACTTTCAGAGTTGTTTGGAGAATTACATTTTTCTAGCAATGAGGGTCCTGTCTTTCCAAGCTTTTGTTTATTTTACTTTTTTCTTTGAAAATTTAAACATTTTGTTAAGTATATAATATTTTACTTAACCTCTCAAGAAAATAAATATTATATAAATAATAAAACTTGCAACAGCCTTTGCCTAATGGACGAGGAAGTAAGGACAAGGTGTTGTGAAGTTAATCTAGATAGGTCGATTTATAGGGATGGAAAGGCCCTAAAATTTATTTTTTCTCATAAAAGTTAAATGAACAGGAGAACTGTCTTTTATTGAGGAGCTACCCGTATTCTCTAGCTTTAGATTCTTTATTAGGGAAAAATAAGTGTAATAAAACTCCCAAGTATGATTGAACCAAGTCTTTACCAGTACTTTGCAAACAGAACATAGCAACGTATAGGTCAAGTTCTT